TGTGATCAGTTAGTCGGTGATCTGACGGTCAGCGTAAGAATCATTTTTGCTTTCTACCCGTTTATGTGTATGTGTATTAGCACAGTAAAATCGGCTTTTAGTGAGTGGGGGAACATCGTATGCTTAACCCTCTTTAAAGGAACAATCTTCAGGGGTCTCCGAATAGCTTTTAACACTATGAAAGTTTTTAGTGCCCAAGAGCCTTCTCTTTCAGGCAGTAATCATTAAGAGACACGATCTTAAGAGCTATCAGACATTTTATGATCCTCGAGGATATCAGATCTTTGGGGTCTTTTGAATGTTTAGGATCTTGAAACCACTATAACTATTAGTTCTACCTTACTTTACTTCACTTGACTTCACCGGACTGCACTGTACCTCACACCTCACACCTCACTCACCCCACCTCACCTCACCTCACCTCACCTCACCTCACCTCACCTCACCGCACTGCACCGCACCGCACCATCACGTCACTTCACTTCTCTTTACCGTGGAGGAAAGCACTCATTACAGTTCCAATTCTTCGCTGTATCTGTTTCTTTTTAGCGCATTTCCACAAAAATTTAAAAAAAATGCGCTATTGTGGCCACTTTGTCCGTCCGTCCGTCCGCTCGTTTTAAGACGCTACTAGTTTTTTATCTTAAGAGCTATTGTTCTACTTTTCTCGCTATTTGGTTCGTTATGGTGTCGAGTCTTGTACCAAGGAAGGAATTTTTTCTGTACCGCTTACAAAAAAAGTTATTGTAAAAAAAACATAAAACCGTTTTTTACATGTTCCATAATTTTACACTTTTGCCGTTTATTAACGATCCTAGATATCGTTTATAATTTTGAATTGCTATCTGTCGTCTGCCTGTTAGTCTGTCCGTCTGTTCCTTTGTCTGTCTGTCCCTCTATCTGTCCGTGTGAACGATAACTTTGTTTAGAAATGTCCGATCGCTTTTACATCTCCGTTAGTTATGAACTGAATTGCATGAAATTCAATATGGGCATAGCTTTAGCCCTATAATACGCAATGCCAAAAGTTGAGTTGAATCGATTCAAAATTCACAGTGCCCTTTTCGCATCTCGACCATTTATAAACCGAATTGCAAACTTTTTTAATTATAAAAGTATAAATGAAATTTGATACATAGCCACTTGTAATAAACGCAAATTTAACGCCAGTTTCCAAATTTGGTTTTGCGCATGCGCATTGCTAACTTTCTTATTTATGGAGGGATTTAAATGAAATTCGATACATAGCCACAACAGGAACAAAGGAAAATCTAACGTCAGCTTCAAAATTTAGGTTTGCGCAGGCGCAGTTCCAACTTTCTTATTTAGAAAAGCATTGAATTGAAACTCTTCTTATAAACTGAAATTGAAGTAGCCCGTCAAAAATGGATTGCACATGTGCAACGCTATCTTTCATATTTGTGGCCGGATTTTTACAATTTTAACAAAAGTTGCATCTTACAAATAGGAAATGAATGCAAGTGGAAATACGCTTTATGTAAATAGTTTACGATTACTTTTTAACTTGTCCATTTCGTGCCCACTACGGGACGGTGCGTAAACAATACGAACAAGTTAAAAAGTAATCGTAAACGATTTACATAAAGCGCATTTCCACTTGCATTCATTTCCCATTTGTAAGATGCAACTTCTGTTAAAATCGTAAAAATCCGCCCACAAATATGAAAGATAGCGTTGCACATGGGCAATCCATTGTTGACGTGCTACTTCAATTTCAGTTTATGAGAAGAATTTCATTTCAATGCTTTTCTAAATCAGTAAGTTGGAGCTGCGCATGCGCAAACCTAAATTTTAAAACTAATGTTAGATTTTCTTTTGTTCCAAGCGCCTAAGTATCAAATTTCACTTAAATAGTTCCATAGATAAAAAAGTTGGCACGGCGCATGCGCAAAACCAAATTTTGAAATTGGCGTTTGATTTTCCTTTATTCGAAGTGCTTATGTATCAAATTTCGTTTAAATTCTTTCATAAATAAAAAAGTTGGCACTGCGCATGCGCAAAACCAAATTTTGAAATTGGCGTTTGATTTTCCTTTATTCGAAGTGCTTCTGTATCAAATTTCGTTAAAATTCTTCCATAAATAAAAAAGTTGGCACTGCGCATGCGCAAAACCAAATTTTGAAATTGGCGTTTGATTTTCCTTTATCCCAAGTGCCTATGTATCAAATTTCGTTTAAATTCTTCCATAAATAAAAAAGTTGGCACTGCGCATGCGCAAAACCAAATTTTGAAATTGGCGTTTGATTTTCCTTTATTCCAAGTGCCTATGTATCAAATTTCATTCAAATACTTTTATAAGTAAAAAAGTTTGCAATTCGGTTTATAAATGGTCGAGATGCGAAAAGGGCACTGTGAATTTTGAATCGATTCGATTCAACTTTTGGCATTGCGTATTATATGGCTAAAGCTATGCCCATATTGAATTTCATGCAATTCAGTTCATAACTAACGGAGATGTAAAAGCGATCGAACATTTCTAAACAAAGTTATCGTTCACACGGACAGATAGATGGACAGACAGACAAAGGAACAGACGGACAGACCAACAGGCAGACGACAGATAGCAATGCAAAATTATAAACGATCTCTAGGATCGTTAATAAACGGCAAAAGTGTAAAATTATGGAACATGTAAAAAACGGTTTTTTGTTTTTTTTACAATAACTTTTTTTGTAAGCGGTACAGAAAAAATTCCTTCCTTGGTACAAGACTCGACACCATAACGAACCAAATAGCGAAAAAAGTAGAACAATAGCTCTTAAGATAAAAAACTAGTAGCGTCGCAAAGTTAGCGGACGGACGGACGGACGGACGGACGGACAAAGTGGCCACAATAGCGCATTTTTTATTTATTTTTGTGGAAATGCGCTAAAAAGAGGACCCTCCAACTTTTCTTCTGTTTAGTATGGGGATTTGTTGGTATGATAATAATCCACGTTAATACTTACCGCTTGCATTATCAGCTGCTCTTTGTGGCATTTCTTGCGTCTCTTATACAAAAGTCTATTATGATTTTTAATAGAAATGTTTGATTTTTGTATTTCCCTTTTTTCTTTTCATTTTGTTGCCGTACCTATTTATTTCTCTTATATATGTCTTATACTACACTTTTTCCATTTTAGTTTTCTTCTTGGTGTGTTTTTTGTACTATAATTAATTATGCTAAAACCTTATGGTGGTGTTCTGGAAATAGAGATGGCTATGGAACTGTCGTATATCGCCAGACTGTAAAAAAATTACTAACGTCCAAATTTTATTATTGTAAACGTCCTGTATTCTGTGCTGTAAAATTCCTCCGTTAGATGCCCCCTGTCCTTTGAATTTAACACCCTTCTTATTTCTTCACTTGCTTAGTGACGCCCCTTGTCTCTATAAAGACAGGAATTCGTAATTCAAAAGGAAACTTTTCCCAGATTCTTCCTGAGACCTTCCCATATTAATCACCGACCATCTTCTCACAATATCCAAGAGTAGAAACGCCACGGCTTTTTCAACAAATCTGTACGAAACTGGGAAATACACACGAGTGTACTTGGAAGCAACGTAGTGCAAATTTCAGGCCCACGAGCGTTTTGGATATTTTCGCGTAGGTATTTACAATATGCAAAATCTATATACATCTTTCGAAAAAATGTGTAAATTGACAATAATTTATTTAGTGACACTAAAAATTGTTGGATAAAGATCAAGAACGACGCAAGGAGATACTGATAGGAAGAAGATTTTGGTTGGACCACAGTGACAGACAAATACGATTAGAAAGTATAGTGTTTTGCATAACGAGTGTTGAAACCCATACTTTTCGCAAAAGTGCGAATTTAGTGCAGAAAAAAACTAAAAGCACTGAGGAAGCCGAATATTGCGATAACCGCTAAACAAAGCGTCCACCCCTATAACTCTACATTTTCGCATCTTTGGTGTATTTATGGCTGATTACCAACTGAGAGTCAATTATGTCTGCATGTATCTACGTAATATGAGGGATGAAAACCTCAAGGGGGGTAAACGTTGTAGCCGACGCACGGAAAAGTCATAAAGCCGCACCGAGTATGAAGCGAAGTAAGCTGGTTTTAAACGTTTTCCTCTTAGAAAGGGGTGTGATGAAATTAGGAGGCTGTAATGAACCAAAAGACATAATTTTACACAGCGTACTTAGTACCCCTTCTCTTGCGTATGGGCGTGCAAGTTCTTCGCAATTTAGGTACATAAATCGCGCGGAAGATATCCAATTATGAGAAAAATTATAGGGCACGACATTTGCAGGCGTCCCTTAAAGTTCTCGAACTTCCAACTTTACCGCGTAATTTTTTAATGCCCGAAGCGTTTTCCTTTCATGTTTGGTACGTAATCGGCGAGCTGGCTCCGTGAGAAATCGTCGCTGTTATTTTAACCTTGTTTGTCTCTTCCCCAAACTATAAAGCTCCCTTTTTTATTGTTATTGTAGCGAACGTATATTGCGCTCAATGCAAATTTGAATCGCGAAAACACATCTGCCATTCCTCCACTTTGGAACATACATTTCGATTTTCGTCACGAGCGCTATTTTTATGTCCCTCGTCTTTTGCATATGCTCCACTTCAATCGAAATGGATCCGCTTAATCTTGCCCACGTTCATTACACCCCCAGTCTCACTAAAACTTTAAAAAGTCGATCAAAACGTAACGTACCGTAAAAATCTATAGGCTTTGTAAGAGGATAACGACTTCAATTTCCTTACAAAAATGGAATAAATTTAAAGTAAATTAACATTAAAAATCTGGCTAATAAAATTCTTCCTACTTCTGTTTTATCTACGTCATTAACCCTTATAATTAAATTTCGACAAATGAAGTTATCGCGATGGAATAGGGAAGTCAGTTCCCAATTTTCCGACCCTGTATCGAAGCCTGACGGTGCAATTTAAATTTTTAAAGAAAAGGGCATATGTTATCGTCGCGACAGAGATTACACCATTTTCTAAGGGTAATTTTTTTTTCAGGTTACCTCGGGAATTCCAGAGTCGTGCTCAACCACTACGATGTGTCGACGCAGGTAAGCGCCTTTTTCTCTTATTTTTAAATACGGGCGCGGTGGTAAAGGAAACGCTTTTAAATATAATTATTTTCAACGTTACAACGGTATAGGGGAGCGAGATAAGCTGGAATTTTAATTAGTTTCGCACGTGCCGTTATTTGTATATCTGTAATTGGAATAATTATGGTTCCAGTATAATGGATGTTTTGATTATTCTTGTTTTCGTTTGGGGATTACATTAAATAAAGTTCGTTAAAACGAATTGTGGGTAAATAATTTTGGTGTTTATGGCGGATAATTTATTTGGGATCGTTTGGATTTTGTTTACTGTTTACTGTTCATTTTAGTTGGTTAATTGAAAGCTGAATGGACGTTCATGTAAAATCTCTACGATTTAGCAATAAATTAAGGATTATTACTTTGACACCACCGTTAAATCGGAGTAAATTAGGTGTACTGTTCACCCTATCTGACAGTTTCTTTGTTATTCACATAGATCATTCAATCTTCCTAAGATCTTTTTAAATGTTTTAGAAGCTTCAGAGATTTTAGAGCATTGAACACATTTAGAAGCTTCACGTTTTTCAGATTTTCCAAGAGTTTTACCCCTCGCCGCGGGGTTAATTCCATTCCAAAAAGTTTATTTTTCTATCAATTTTGACGGTGAATAACGCATCGGATGCCGCAAATTTTCCCCTCTGAAAATACCTATCTAGGAATTCTTAAAAAATTATAACGAAAAAATGATCAAAGTCCTCGTGTGAGATCGAAGGGACTTCAGCGCATTTTTGTGTGGCAGATCAGTGTTTTATTAGCCAATATTGACTCCACCATCAATAAGATCTTGCCGAAAGCTACCACGTTCACTTTGTCGGTACCATTTTCTTACTTACCGTGCACTCGCAATTCGCGTTTGAAGTTTTGACTCCACCATCAGTAAAATCCTTTGGGGGTTACCATATTCCCTTTGTCGACACCCACTTCTGATCACCCGCAACAATTCGGATTTGAAGTTTCGACTCCACCATCAGTAAGATCTTGTCGGGGGTTACCACATTCCCTTTGTCGATACACAGTTCCGACGTCCCGTTCATTCCTAATTCACATTTTGGTAGATTTTGCTAAAATACCGGCATAAAATCGTATTCAACTTTTGGGTACTTCACATAGCTCGACCTTCTATTAGGGACACGAGCAAGAGAGACCGCGATTCGCGCTGTAAGAAACTTTTGGGCGCCCAAAGTCGACTACCCCTCGAAGCGCGCCGCGCAAAAGGTGGTTTATTTCGCCCCTAGGAAAAAAAACTAAATTCCGCCACGCAGGAGTTGTGCGCGTTGACAAGATCTTCCCGACGACACCAATTTGAAAACAATCGGAGAAAAACTGTAGAAGAAGATAGATAAAAACTGAAAAATCTCCAGGTTAGTATAATACGCTCGGGGATGGCGTCCAGATGTCGTCGACTCCAAATCTGGTAGCCCCATCCCTAACGTTCTTAATTACACGGCCCCGATAGTTACATGTACACTCCTTGTCTTTTTACAAGCGTTTTTCTACGGGCGCGCATTTACTGCCAGCCAGCCAGCCAGCCAAAGTGAGATTAAAAGCTACTTTTTACAAAAAAAATTTTTTGCAAAAATGCGCTAAAAAGTCTATGCGCCCATGAATCGTTAACCTAAAAAATTCGTATAAATTAAGTCTTCTGCGGCATCTGTTCCATTGTGACATTGCAACTATCGTCGTTCCTTTTAATGAAAATAATTACATAATACAAAAATTTGTCGGGTAAATTTATTGACAAAACAAAAACAAAAAAACGCGTACTCTCGGGGCGAACATGGGATCGCATAATCAAAAAGGCAAACCCTTAATTTAAACGCAACGACGATTTTTTAAATACCCTTTTCGGCAATCACCTGACACTTGTCGAAAGTGACGATACATTTTTAGCGCATTTCCACAAAAATAAAAAATAAATGCCCTATTGTGGCCACTTTGTCCGTCCGTCCGTCCGCTCATTCGTTGAGACGCTACTAGTTCTTTAGTCATTAGTCATTATATTTTTCCTTTGGCATACATATGTACATAGGAGGCGTCAACGAGAAAAAAATAAAATACACACACACACTTATGAGCTATTGTTCTACTTTTTTCGCTATTTGGGTCGTTATGGTGTCAAGGATTGCACCAAGCAAGGAATTTTTTCTGCGTTTGTTGCTAAAAAAGTGATTGTAAAAAAACCAAAAAACCGTTTTTTACATGTTCCATAATTTTACACTTTTGCCGTTTATTAACGATCCTAGAGATCGTTTATAATTTTGTATTGCTGTCTGTCGTCTGTCTATTGATCTGTCCGTCTGTTTCTTTGTCTGTCTGTTCCTCTATCTGTCCGTGTGAACGATAACTTTGTTTAGAAATGTCCGATCGCTTTTACATCTTGGTTAGTTATTAACTGAATTGCATGTAATTCAATATGGGCATAGCTTTAGCCATATAATACGCAATGCCAAAAGTTGAGCCGAATCGATTCAAAATTCACAGGTGCCCATCTCGACCATTTCTAAACCGAATTGCAAACTTTTTATTTATAAAAGTATTTAAATGAAATTTGATACATAGGCACTTGGAATAAATGAAAATCAAACGTGAGTTGCAAAATTTGGTTTTGCGCATGCGCAGTTCCAACTTTCTTATTTAGAAAAGCATTGAAATGAAATTCTTCTTATAAACAGAAATTGAAGTAGCACGTCAAAAATGGATTGCACATGTGCAACGCTATCTTTCATATTTGTGGCCGGATTTTTACGATTTTAACAGAAGTTGCATTTTGGGAAATGAATGCAAGTGGAAATGCGCTTTTTCTAAATCGTTTACGATTACTTTTTAACTTGTTTTGTATTATAATTAAGTATGCTAAAACCTTATGGTGGTATTCTGGAAATAGAAATGGCTATGGAACTGTCGTCTATGGACAAACTGTAAAAAAATATAAAGGAGTAACGTCCAAATTTTATTTGTAAACATCCTGTATTCTGTGCTGTAAAATTCCTCCGTTAGATGTGCATTTCGTGCGCATTCCTCACACTTTTCTCCAATTTATGAGATCTTTTTGGAAACTCTCCACTCTAAATTAAGCTCACAATTAATTAAAACAAACAGCATTTAGGACGCGTTCGGCAACCTTCGTGCGCTAAGGCACTTCAGAAATAATTCGAATTGCGCACGTGGCCTTTGAAGACCTCCTGGAGAAATGTTATCACGGCGCTGTCGTCCAGGTTACCGCCGCGTTCTAAACGGAAAACTCGGCCGCAGGTACGTATACGCTGATTCCGCCCCCAATATATTGGTCTGAACCCCCTTTTCAAAAACGCGCATTTTCCCCTCTCAGAGCGACCCCCTTCAACAAGTAGATCTCGATCTACAATCGCGCAAATTTACGTGTTTTCCTGTAGCTCTAACTTTTTAGTTCGTAGAAGGAATCAGAGTAGCAGGGGCAATCCGGGTCGCGCAGTTCACAAACTCGAGTTATTCCACGAATCCCATTCCCGCACAAAAACGCTCCTCCACGTCCCCCACCCACGAGAAAACCGGAATTGGATACTGCGCACCGTTTTCGAGCTAATTTTGTTCCAAAATTTTCGATTTTTTCGCTTCTTACGGCAGTTACGACGGAAGCCAGAAGTATTTTTTGAACCCCGCCAAAATTTATGTTGCCTAAGAATCCTGGAATTTTTTGCAATATGTAGCCTATACCTTGAAGGTGTGCCAGACGGCCATCAAATTTGTATAACTTTCACATGCGACGACCAGCTGATCTCAGATTTTGCATACGCATGCCTTTAGTAGAGCCAAGCGGGGGGGGGGGCGTTCTACCCTTCATGGTATTCTAATGCAAGGTCTCGCCAAAATGAATTGGTTCGTAGGAACTCTTTAGAAAGCAAATCGAAATTGTTTCAGTTGAGGATAAACAATGAACATTGATCTAGTTTGAACTAGTCCATCCGGTAAGTAGGGTCTCAGACCATTATAATTTGTTCAAAGATAAGTACCTTAAAATTTCCTAGCCTAGTAGATCGCGGTTCACGAAATTTCGAAATTATTCGTTCAAACAAAAACTTACACATCACAAAAAGCGACAACTCCTCGACATAAAATCGGGGTCTTTTGAACAAATATTAAGATACTACTCCATTAGAACCGCAAAGTTTAATGCCAACTTTCCGACGTACAATAAAACTGATTTTCACTAGTATTTCTGTCGGTAAAATAATAACAATAAAAGATTTACTACCCTAAAACATAAAACGCTTTACTGTCCTAAGCTAACCTTTACGGAATTAATCGTCCATAAAGAGGGGTTGCTTTTTGACGATTCTGCCTAATGTAATATCACCAAGCTTTCAGGACATGACATACTTCCTAGTGCATCCTCCTAGTTCTTATGAATTTCAAGCGACCGGTGTGTTGTCGTAATCCGCCGGAGGGCTATAAGTTGAACTAATCTATCATATACGTCGACCACCTTGACGTGTTTCTGTATGAACATTTCATGTGGATCATTAATTTGATGTACGACGCAAAAAATATGCGGGGCTTTCGTCACGATGTGATGGTGTCATACGTGTCGCATAATGAATTGTTCTCATTATCACGGCCGTAGTCGATGCTTTTAGGCGTATGCTCAATTAATCACGCTCTCAGTTATGTGATAAACAATGCTTTTCCTGAAAAAATATGTAGACCCAAATTATTCAACGGTTTCAGGGTGAAGCTTGAATTTTTATCAAATTAAGTTCACCATTGGCAGTATTCTATACCTCATTATAATTTTTCTTTGCCAGTACGCGATTAAGGATGTAAAGGAACAATGAAATAATTTTTTTTCTCCAACCACCTGAATAAGACGCTATTTTGTGCCAGTGTTCGGTACGTAAAATTGACGTTTTGCGGATTAATCGCTTTCACCATGGCAACTGTACAAAAAGTGGATACTTTTGGTCCTAGTACCAAAAAGAAAT